AGCCTGCATTTATTTGATCCAAAGTACGGCAAAAGCAGTAATGTTGTGAAATATTTTTACTATTTAGAATAACTGCTTTCTATTTGTATACATTTTAAAATGATTGCTGTGATCAAAGCTGAATTTTCAGCATCATTACTCCAGTCTTCAGTGTCACCATTCTAATATGCTAATTTGCTGCTCAAGAAACTTGTTTTAATTATTATTATTATTATTAATGTTTTTTGAGCAGCAAATCAGAATGATTTCTGAAGGATCGTGTGACTGGAGTAATGATGCTAAAACTTTAGCTTTGAAATCACAATAAATTACATTTTTAAATATATTCAAATAAAACAGTTATTTTAAATATACTTCAAAATTGTACTGTTTTGCTGTACTTTGGATCAAATAAACTTTTTCTAAAAACATGAAAAATCTTACTGTTCAAAAACTTTTGACTGGCAGTGTATATGCAACTTTAATTGTTCTCTAATTTCTAGCTTTTAATTGACTTAGAAATCAGATAACTATAACTGGACAATAAGCAATAATAATGATTTGTTTATATACTACAAACACTTTATAATCACATAATAAGGCAGAATAGTTTCTATACTGTAATAAATGCTATGTCAGCTAGCACTGCATTGTTCATATACTTTATTTATTACCTGGAGATGACTTGACAAACACAAATAAACCATATATTGTCGCAATCGTATGTTTAATGTCTTCATGTTTCCAAACGTTTCTGTTTTTCTGTGAAAACAACTGTTTTGTCCATATTAGGGATTTCCTCGTATGGCTTTCTGCGGAGAGCGCCTCCGGCTACAAGTATGAATGAAACACACACTGCACGAGTGTTTAGCGCTCCGTGATGTTCATCTCGCCTTATTCTGGGTCCGAATAAAACATCAGATCATGCACAGACTATCCTGTCTCTTTGAATTTAAATCTATATTTATTCACACCGGCGCTTGAAAACCTCTATGCGAACACACTAGTACTGATAACAAGGAGACAATCAAAAACACATAAAAATGGCATTATACATACTTTATTATTAATGCAACACCGTGTTAAAAATCAGTTTCAAAATGCATAACAGAAGATGTGACAAGCATGATGAATCATCAACACACTGTTTTCTTAAGTGGACGCAGTGCAAGTACTACAAAGAAAGCTGAATAAATGAATAATAATAATAATAATAAGATGATTTGATGCTTCTGCCAAACATTACTGATGACCCTTTCTGCATGGATTCTTAGAAGTGCTAGACGATCTGTCCAATACTAAATAGTGCTTGTAGGTGGAAGACATTGACACACACTTTGACACTGAATGGTTTCTCTGTGGAAATCTCAAAACAGTCTATCATTGCTATTCTGTGTCCAAAGAACTCCACAAACTAGTGAGGCATAATTGTGTGCCCGTCACAGTTGTGTAAAACAGTGTTTGTGCAGGCAGATCCAATCTGAGGTGCATAAGGTTAACAGAAGTATTTAAAATTAAGTGAGAATTTTTCTTATTTCTGGCATGAAAAGCAACATAAGGCAATAAAAAGCTTCATGGCAGGGATTCTCAACTCTAGCCCTCAGAGTCCACTTCCAACAGAATTTAGCTCCAACCTCAATCAAACTCAGCTGCCTGTAACTTTCTAGTAATCGTGAAGATCTTGGTTAGCCTGTGCAGGTGTATTTTATTCGGGTCGGATCTCAACTCTGCAGTAAAGGGGACCTCAAGGGCCAGAGTTGAGAACCCATGTAGTAAAGGTCCCCAAGTTTGGCATACCTGTATAATGCTTTACTTTAAGATCACTGAAAAACTCTCAGACATCCTGAGTTCACGCCACAGCAGTCAGTTTTCTTCTGCGCACACACTAGTTCACACACATTCAGTTAGTGACACTGAGTGGTGTCTGTGAAGCCCACCATCTCCTCCAGCCTGCAACTGCTCCCACTTACTGTGTAGTCACACCTAGCCTAACTGTATGACATGAAAATGATCGAAAATGTAGTCAGTACTTTTTAAAATGGTAAGAAATAAAAATGAGAAACATTAGAAATGTATTTTAGTTTAGTATTCAGTTTAAATTACACTTAAGTTAAGTACAAACCCCCCAAAACAATACTTAATTTCAGTAACGTTAGTGAAATGAAATCAAATAACTCTTTACACTCATGCATAAAACGATCGCAAGACATTTCATGGTAACAGTTACATGACCCTAAATAACATGTGGATATAATGTTGGCTACTTCAGAAAACAGAAAATAAGCACATCTAAAACATCTCTTACTTACCGTTATGAAAATGTGGAGGATAAATGAACATAACCGGAGACATGATGATTGTGCACACCACCGATAGCTGACTCCTGTACTAAAGAAAAAGCAGCCTTTATCTCTCAGACACAAACAGAGAGCCTGTCTTTGATCGAAACTGACATGAAGAGGAATTAAAGAAATACAGTGAACAACTAAATACCGTGCCTTAGTTTACTACAACAATTCCCTTCTGTGTTAATGAAGATGAACTTACTGAAAATGCATGCTATATACACATATATTGAGAGAGAGAGGAACTGTTTTAACAGTGCAGGACATCCCAGAGGGTAACAGCTCGACTGCTTGTAAGGCTCCTCCGGGACAGCAGGCGGCGCTGCAGCGCGAGGCCGCGGCGGGACACGGGCGGAGGAGCGGAGCACGGCAGAGGCAGGGGCAGAGGCAGAGGCAGAGGCAGAGGCAGAGGCAGGGGCAGGGGCAGGGGCAGAGGCAGAGGCAGAGGCAGAGGCAGAGGCAGAGGCAGAGGCAGAGGCAGAACAGCGCGAGGCCGCGGCGGAACACGGGCGGAGGAGCAGAGCACGGCAGAGGCAGGGGCAGAGGCAGAGGGAGAGGCAGAGGCAGGGGCAGAGGCAGAGGCAGAGGCAGAAGCAGAGGCAGAGGCAGAGGCAGAGGCAGAGGCAGAGGCAGAGGCAGAGGCAGAGGCAGAGGCAGAGGCAGGCGGGCTTCAGGGCGGATGATGAGCCGCAGCGCGGGGCTGGAGGCGGCGCTGCTCGACGCGCTGGCCGACGCGGACGCCAGGTAACGAGCCGCGGCGCTGCACAGACTCAGAGCCGCTGCAAGCGCTTCAGATACAGTAGGAGGCTTCGTGCCTCGGTTCAAAACAACCCCCTCAGCACGGTTTTACAGTATGCTCTGTCCGCTGCAATACACTGTGAAGGATGCGTTATAAATATGAAAGCTTAACATATGTTAAAGGACGCGAAGCATGTCATGTCAAATGCATAAAGTAAGAAAGTTAGCTTAGTTACTATCATGTCCGTTATTGTGCCTTTTACCCCAAATACTTTTAATAGTGCTGGGCGGTATGACCAAGTATATCACGGTATTTTTCTAAATGATACCGGTTTCACGGTACAAGACGGTATTTTTTCTTCATGCATGACCAGGTGTTAACTATATTTTCTACTGATTGAGAGGAAATACTGCAGTATATTGACTCAGAATGCCCTATTTTACTGTCATGATGAGTGAATATACACACACACACACACACGCACACACACACACACGCACACACACAAGTGCGCCCACTCCCACTAGTATTTGTAAATATTAAGCCGCAAAATGATTAATATTTAAATATGAATTCTGCGTGTCTCTGTGTTAATGAATGGTTTTGTGTAGTACTCGTACTGAAACATCTGAGTAAAACTATCCTCATGTCATACACACACAGAAATGTAATGGTATTCACGGCAACCCGTCAAAATAAAAGTTCAGTTTAACTTGAGGGCATTGTGGCAGAAATATATTACTGTTGTTCAGTAGACTGTACGTAACAGACTGCTACTACTAAAAGTATTAAAACCTTATTTTTAAGGAATAAGCATTCAGTATTTCTTCAATGTTTTAATTGTAATATTAAATGACCTTTATTTTCCAAAAAATTTTATTTGTTTAATTTTCATTACTTAAAAGATAGATTAAATGAATGTTTTATGCCTTAAAACAAAATGTAAATACACAACACAGAATTTCTGAGCAAAAAAATCATACGGCTATTGTAAGAATAAATGAAACTTGTTTTATGCTTTCAAATTAGACATGCTAAAACTGAATCTGGTTACAATAAAACATAAGGTTGGACAAATAAAACATTTCATAGGGCCCTAAACGTAATATTTGTTAAACTTTTAATAATTTGATGTTAAATTGTTTAAGTTTCATGATATTAATTAATTAGACATGCTTTTTGATTAATAAAATGTAATTTAACCATTAAAAAGGAGCCCAGAAAAAAAACGGAATCTTTTCACTGACGACAACGAGACAATAACGAACTAAAACTCTTTTTGAATGACAAAAACAATGACGTAAATCTATTGACATTTTCGTCAACTAATAAAAACGAGACGATAATGTTGGGGAGGGATGATTTGGGAAGAGATTCATTCCGAAGGAATCTGCTGCGTGGTTCGGAGGTTAGATGCGTACATATGAACCGGCGGGACAGAAGCTAACATACACTTGCTGCACGTCACATAAAACATTCAAAAATGTGGGAGTAAGAGAAGAGCAGACATATGGATAAATCTGACGACGCAAGAGAGAACTGAACTCGGTCCGGTTTTCTGAGCGCAGACACTGAAGCACACACACACACAGAAAGCGCCTCTCACAGCGCGCGAGTACTCTCTCGCGTCGCATGAACGGAGAATTACACACAAAATTATGTTGTATTGTCCGTTTTGATGAGTATTCACGTAAACACAGTTGATTACGTCTTAAGTGAACGTAAGCAGTAGAGAGAGCGTGTATCAGTGCATTGCATCCATTGCAGCTGAGCGTTCAGTTTTAAAGGGACAGCAGCCTAATTTAGTTGCAATTGTCCGCGTCACTGATGTTAATCAAGCAACAACAGAAAGATCACGCACTGCTCTTGACTGAAAAACTTTAGTAGCCCTAAAGATTCATCTAAATTTATTTATAGAAATATGTCAGCTTGAAAGAATGAAGAATGTGGTAAACAAGTTGCTGTAAAGAATACATAATTAGCCTATATAACCATTGGTACTTCATTAATAAGTTCATGTTCTTGTGCTTTATGAGAAGTGGTTTTATTTAATTTTAACATAAAGGCATGTTGTGTGTCACCGCAGTTAAATCGGTGTCTATCATGATAAAACCTTAATATCAAACCTATATAATGAGTTTGGAAATTTTAGAGAAATGCTTAATAAATGCACTGTAACTAAACCCATTAGATTTTAGCCGACTAAATTTACTGCAGATTTAGTCGAACAAAATCTTATGATATTTATTAGAATTTGAAAGATAATATCGATATTGTTTGGTAAATGAGATCTCTGATTTTAGTCCTTGAAAGCCAAAAAAATAGTGCTTTGAAAAGTCCTTGAAAGTGTTTCTCTGTTTCCCTGATGTTGTATTGTTTTGGTTGGTTGGTTTTAGGACTACTGACGATCTGACTCCTTTACATATTGCTGCATCTTGGGGCTGTTTTCAGAATCTCCGATTACTCTTAAGGAACGGCGGAAACCCAAACCTCACAGATCAAGTAAAACATTCAGTGCATTACCATCTCCAGTACTGACCTGCTGTAATGATCTGTATTTAAGTCTGTGTTTTATAGCAAGTTGGAAACACTAAAAATGTAAGTGTTAACTGCTTTATTTGTAGGATGGGAATAAGCCATCTGATCTGGCAGAGCAGGAGGAGAACAGTAAATGTGCTAGTCTTCTTCAAGAGTATGAATTCCATACATCCAAAGAGGAGCAAGACATGCCCAAATTCCAGTATTGTAAGAATTGTTGTTGTTATTATTTGGGTTAATTATCAGGCCTCATGCTCTAACAGAAGTGTGCAGTTAAAGCCAAAGATAATACAGCGTTTTATCTATCATTTGTGGAAGGAGAACTTATTATACTACCATAATATTGTCTTCCTTTTTTCTAGCAATCCTCTCTGGAGAGTCCATGAGTGACAGTTCGTTCAGTCCAGAAGCTTCAATGCTTATTCCCCCTGGAGCAGAGCCATTGAGCAGCACACGCCTGTCCTCTTTTCCCAGCACTTGTAGAGTCAGTGGAAAACCTTTGAACAGAGAGAGTCAGGCCTTCTGGCTCTCAGATATGTCAGATCTCGAGTCACATGATTCTCATGTTTGGAATAAAGATGAAATGTGTAAGGAATTACCGATGCTGTCTAGTACTTGTCTCTCTGCTGTGGACAATAAGATCAGTCCAGGGGTGGTGTCGACATATCAGCATCAAGCCGCAGATAGTGACTGTGATGTTTTGCAGACTCACAATATCCCTGTTTTGTCTCAACGGGAAAACCGGAGGAGTGTCACCTTCAAGGGAAGTATTGATTATTTACCTGTTATCAGCCCAGATGATCATCGGCAGTTCTTTCTCGATCAGTCGAGTGATCTTACATCGGACCTTTCTCAATATCCAGATTTCCTAGACACTAAGCGTATGGCAACTGTGTTACAGAGTCAGGGAATAGATGTCACGTGTCCTGATGATGTATTCATTTTTTCCAAAGAAGTTGACACGATGGAAGATGAATTTGATAAGACTGTTGTGGGGCCTGTACAACTTGAGGATGAGGATGATGATGATGAATTTAAGAGCATTATTCAGCCCCACATCAGCAGTGGATCCAGCGCGTACAACAGCTGTGGCAGTGACCCGTGCCTGAGCCCCAGCACTGAAAACAGTGCAAGTCCACCTTTGACCGAACCCTGTACCCACAAATCAGATTTGACTGTAGAGCAGTGTGGCTTCAGAGTTCGAAATCAAAGTCTTACTTCTGTTGGTGATGGAAAGCTGAAAGAAGGAGTCAGGAGACATATTGAACAATCAAATTTATCTGCAACTGGCCGAGATGCTGGTAAGGTTGAGGTGACCAATACTGAAACTGATTGTATTCCAAGTCCATTTGTCACTGGGAGAACAAGGTCCAGATTGAGTCGTCATTCGGAGAGAATGAGCCAAAAATTGGCTTCCTTTCAAGCCAGCTCTTGCCTCTTTGAACAGACGCTACCCACCGCTATCCGATTGCGCCGCAACACGGTTAAGTCGCCTTATGGTACGTCAAAGCACAGTCTCGATAAGGACAAAATGGAGGATGTTGACTCCCAGTTGAGCTCTCTCAAGTTATCTGTAAGCTCAGATGGTCAAAGCCAAGCGGACACACTAATCTTATCGGACAGCATGGCTGACACGGTGTTAATTTCTGAAAGGATTGTTGAATCACAGTTGGAAACGAGTGTCAGTGAGGCTGGTAATAAGGTAACCACTCCTGAATGCTTGACTGGTATGCAAGAAGTGAAGAAAACTGCAAAAGGGATGCCACAGATCATCCCTACTGCTGTCGGAGACAAAGTGTCCAGTGTTACGTGTGGACTTGCCTCTCAAGTGTCTTTGCCATTTCAGATAGACAACTCAGAATCTGCCTCCAGCTTGATGTATGAATCCCCAAAAGCACAGAAGAATCCAGGTGCTAATCCAGGGTGCTCTGGCTGTACTCCTCGGTATAGCATGAGCCGACTGTCGGGCCGCTCGCGACAGGCACTGGCAAACCTTTCTTGCACATCTGCTGGAAAGCCCTTAACTACTGATACGGATGAGCCTGTGGAATACCTTTACACTGACACTGAAGAGGGCCATGAGCTCATTGAGACCCATGTTCCCCCAACGGCCAATACCTCCTTCAGCTCTAGCATAAGCACCAATAGCTCTGAGGACACACTGCTGTATGATTGGCGCTCCCTTCAGCTCGGGTCTACAAGTCCAGACCGCAGCACAGAAAGCTATCGTCCCAAACAGGAGAGTGATGTTGGAGTAAGTGGCCTAACTGACAAGGACCTCAGAAGCAAGTTAATTGAACTGGGAGAATATCCAGGACCCATAAACAGTCAAACCCGCCCACTGTACATACAGAAGTTGAAGAGATCCCTTCAGAATACGCCACACAGCCAGAAATCGGTCGCAGTGAGCCCCAGTGGTATGTATACCAAAACAGAAAGCATTTGTGAATTACATAAAGCCAAGGTACTCAAGAGGTGGCCATGTGGTCCATTAGCTTTTATGTGGAGACCCCCAGCATGCCTAGTTACAAACGTGTAGTTATATAACTCAAAAGTCACATGAATAAATCATTTTTAGTTTTGTGTCTCATGCAATGACTAGTTGCCATTCTCATTTACAACATGAACATTAACATTACATTATCATGAAAATTAATGTCAAACGGCTCTAATATTTTGTATCGTATTTGATGATGACGACTAATTGAAAGGTTCCTCTGTAATAAAAGAGTAGAAGATCAGTGATAGCATACAAATGTCATGCTTCCTTGTGTTTAAAGAGCAATTATTTCTTTCTCAGCTGCAGGTTACAGCCCAGAACTTGAAAATGTGCTTCACAGATTCGTACTTCCTAATTGTCAAGCAGATGAGCTCGCTCTGTGTGAGCAGTTTGATAAGCCAGATCAGAATAAGAGATGGCGTGAGGGTTTCATTAAATCCAGCTTTAACTACCTGCTGCTTGACCCACGGTACATGGTTTCTCTCACATTGTGTTGCCTTTATTTGGACAATGACTGTTTCTTTTTATTGTTTAATAACATTTATTTCCCTACTGCTGCTTTATAGGGTGACGAAGAATCTACCATATCGAAGTCAGTCCATGAATCCTAAAGAATGTTTTCAGACGTTCATCAGTGCTGTTTTCTATGTTGGAAAGGGCAAGCGTTCTAGACCTTACAGTCACCTCTATGAAGCTCTGGAATATTTCAAAGGAGATAAGACCTCCAAGGTTAGATGTGTTTTTATTTGATTATTCTTTTTGATATTAGAGGGATTTGCTTTTTTTTTTTTTAAAGATCTACCCTACTATTCCAAAGTTTGAAATTCATCCTTCTGTTCATCAGTGTTGTATTTTATTCATCAAAACAATAATATTGTGAATTATTTTTGTTATTAATGTTTGATTCTTTGAAACTTTGTTTCAAGAACCGCAATCCTTTGTAGAAGTTTATGGCAGCTCATGCAGCAAGTAGATTCCACAAGAGGCATTTTCTTTCTCTTCTGTTTGAATGTAGGCAGCTGTGTTTTCCCGTCTCTGGAATGCAAACTGCTGGCAGTGGGATATTATATAATATTCCAGTCCCGAAAAGTGTTTAGTTTTAGTGTTTCTGCCAAAAATTTGTTGTTTGAGCACTGTGCTGATCTGCTGGAGTTAAAATCTTAGAAAAATCTGAGAAAAGTACATAAACGGAGAGCAAAGCACGGAGCAGTAAGCAAGAGCGTCCAGACAGTAGCAAAGCCAGAAGCCATTAGTACATGTACATATGAGAAGCAAGAAAAGCATGAATGAATGAATACCTTTATTGTCATTTGTCCAACAGTGCAAACGAAAAAATGGTTAGTCTCTCATTCTAAAAAAACAACAACCACACACCCACGTACATTCAAAAATTGCACAAAACACATAAAACACACATGAACAAAGTGCAAATACTTAATAATCAAATCCCTTATTTCACATTTGTTATGAGGTATTTAAAGCTTGTACAGCTATTTGATAAAAACTTTTGAGTAAGTTTATCCTTGTTTTAGTGGCTCTGTACCATCTGCCTGATGGTAACAGATTGAACAAAGAGTGGCCTGGGTGTGATGAGTCCTTTATGATACTGTGAGCACTCCTGAGACAATGGGAACTGTGAAATTGGGAGAGGGCACCCAATGATTTTCTCTGCAGTCCTGATGACCCTCTGGAGCTCTTTTTTATACGCCACAGTGCAGCAGTGATACAAGCAGACTCTGAGCAATGTTATTCTTCCTGAGAACCCTCAGAAAGTAGAGTCTCAGCTGTGCTTTCTTCACCAGTTCTGTGTTGTTCCTGCCCCAGGTCAAGTCCATCTCTATGCAGACGGATGTCTGACCACAAAACACATAAAACACACATGAACAAAGTGCAAATACTTAATAATCAAATCCCTTATTTCACATTTGTTATGAGGTATTTAAAGCTTGTACAGCTATTTGATAAAAACTTTTGAGTAAGTTTATCCTTGTTTTAGTGGCTCTGTACCATCTGCCTGATGGTAACAGATTGAACAAAGAGTGGCCTGGGTGTGATGAGTCCTTTATGATACTGTGAGCACTCCTGAGACAATGGGAACTGTGAAATTGGGAGAGGGCACCCAATGATTTTCTCTGCAGTCCTGATGACCCTCTGGAGCTCTTTTTTATACGCCACAGTGCAGCAGTGATACAAGCAGACTCTGAGCAATGTTATTCTTCCTGAGAACCCTCAGAAAGTAGAGTCTCAGCTGTGCTTTCTTCACCAGTTCTGTGTTGTTCCTGCCCCAGGTCAAGTCCATCTCTATGCAGACTCCCAGAAAACGGATGTCTGACTCGTTCCACACAGTTCCCACCAATGACTATGGGTTGGATATTGTTTTTTTCCCTCCTGACATCGATAACTAACTCCTTTGTCTTTGACGTATTCAGGATCATATTGTTGTCACTGCACCTTATTGACAGGCGCTCCACCTCGTCCCGGTAGGCAGACTCCTCACTCCCTAAGAGGAGCCCCACCACTATGGTGTCGTCTGCAAATTTGATGGTGTTGCTGGAGTGTACGGTGGTGCAGTCGTATGTGTAGAGGATATAGCGCAGGGGGCTCAACACACAGCCCTGAGAAGGGAGAGCTGTGGAAATGTGGGAGCCTGTTCTAATGTTTACTGGCAACTATACATCATTGAAAGGTATTCTGTTTGTTAGTATATAAATATACCAGCTGTTGTCAAGTTTAACTGAAAATTTCATACCGGTATCTGTCTTCGTAACCGGTATTACCTTGGCATACCGTGGCAAGCTTAGTGTACAACAGAAGTGAGCAGACCTCTGTGCAATATCACTTAAATGTCATATGATTCAAATTTTCATCTCACAGTAACTGCATTACATCTAATTTGAACGGTAAGGTCTTTGCTCTTATATTTAAGCTGTGTGGCCTGACCTGCCAAGAAAAGGGATGAGTCAAAAGGATCCATTACTATATTATTATGTCAATTTAAAACATAAAATTGTGTCTTAGTAACATAACTGTTTAGATTTTTATAAGTCATATTAGCTTCTTACCAATCCACCGGTTCACATTTACAACTGCTTCATAAAAATGTGCATCGATTTTTGCAATGGTCTGAACAGAAACTGTAGACAGGCTGATTGAAAATGTACATTCATTCTCTGCCAGCTGGTGGCGCTTTTGAAACAGCAATAACATAGTAGTTTCCCTGGTAACAGCTGTATACAAAGCAGCACTGTTTGATATATTGATATAAAAACACCTGTGCCGTGTTTTGACTTTGAAACGTGCAGCACTCATATTTATTAAATTAAATAATAACCCTAGTTGTCGCATTAATCACACTTTGAGAGTTCAAAATTAAGAGCTCCAACCAGTGCTTGAAGTGGAAAAAAAGAAGTGCCGGTACTCACCCCCAACAATCAATCAATCAATCAATAATTAAATAAAATCGCTTAAAAAAATAAATCGCTTTATGTATCCCCCAATTGTAAGTCGCTTTGGATAAAAGCGTCTGCTAAATGACTAAATGTAAATGTAAATAAAAGTTTTCAGTACAAATTAGCACAAGTCAATCTGCGATACCAAACAGGACCACAGGGAGACGCCAAAGACCACTAAACCAACTATATGGATCCATTCAGAATCACTAAACCTCTGACCACCTTCAGCTGGTGCTGGGCGGTATGACCAAAAATGTATGTCCCGGTATTTTTCTAAATTAAACTAAAAAGTGCATGTGATATTAACAGACGAACTACGCTCATATTTATAATTCCAAACAATCAGTAGGCGACAGGTGCTAGGAAACGCTGTTTTGTACTCATTTATTGACGAGTCGGCTGCGGTGCTTCTCTGCCGCTCGCTGCACAGAACAGACGCCGAGAGAGGCGACACTTCTTCGGGACAGTCAGACCTCACGCTCGCGGGACAGCACTGGCGAAATCTTCCAACTGAACCATAGCTAAGCTTTATCCAAAAGTCTCTAGGTTTGTCAGTATGAATATTCTATGGAGAAAATATGGTCTGAAAGTTGCTAAATCTAGTGCTAAAGTGGCGCTCGTGTGTGAGACGCGGGAGCTGATGGCAGCGGCGCTGGATATTTGTGGAGGTCAGTGTGGATATTGTGGATGAGTTCTTCTGTGTCATCACGTTCTATTAGTTCTACAGCTTCAGTTTCTGAACTTTCACGCTTAGTAACACATACAGCTGTTCCCTCACCACAGTGCAGCAGTGAAAAGAGACCCCTTTCAAACAGTGTCGCGTTCCGAATGTTGTTTAAGTGACATACACCGGTATTGCGGTATTTTAAAAAATAATATCATAACAAAAATAAACACCGATATTCGGTATGAACCGGTATACCTCCCAGCACTACCTTCAGCCGGCGTCTATTATAAAACACTCTTGCTTTTTTTAAGCCAAATTCACGCTGAACAGAATAATTTAATGACATTTGATTCTGGACGTAAGCCACTATTCTCTCCGCAATGAAATCAGCCGTGTTTTCTCTGCATTAGCGCTGTTTTGAACTTACTGTCTGAATTAATTTACTGGATCCTTGGACATTCCAGGAGTTTATCGATTTAAAATGATGTGATCGCAAAAGCCTGCTTCTTTTAATTTTTAAGGTATTATTTTCGTTATAAAGTACCGATTCAAATTAGTAATCAATAATTAATTATTTTTTAATTATTTAATTAATTAATTATACTACTCTACGCGCCTCCCCTGCCATGCTCTGGCACCCCACACATGAGGTAGACCTATTCCGCTTGAATTCGCTCACGTGATTGGTGGAGATGAGAGGTGATTCCGCCTGGGTAGTGTGATTTATATAGTGTCATTTCTAATTACCCAGACACTGACGCTTTTACTCGGAGTACTGGAAACATGTCAGAAGTGGCGGTACGCACAAAAAAGTGCAGGTACTCCTAAAGACTAAAATATAGAAGTGCTGCATACCGGCCCACTCCCTATTCCGGTTGAATTCGCTCACGTGATTGGTGGAGATGAGAGGTGATTCCGCCTGGGTAGTGTGATTTATATAGTGTCATTTCTAATTACCCAGACACTGACGCTTTTACTCGGAGTATTGGAAACATGTCAGAAGTGGCGGTACGCACAAAAAAGTGCAGGTACTCCTAAAGACTAAAATATAGAAGTGCTGCATACCGGCCCACTTCAAGCACTGGCTCCAACACGGGTTCAGACGGCAAACTAAACAAAGGAAAAAGCTGGTGAATTGACTTGTACTTGAAGTTTAAATGGGATTCAATCCTCTTTTTAGTTGTGATATGTGTCTCAGTCTAAATTACACTCACACCGGTGAATTTGGAAGTCAAACAAATTAATAAAATAATAATAATAATAATTTTATATTATTATTCCTATGGCAGTAATAGCCATATATTGTAAAACTGAAATGAGCTGACATTATGGCCATGTATCGTCTGTGATAATGAACGCGATTTTGTGTAGCTTGTCAGTGAACTACGGCTCTGTAGTAAATGCTGCTCCATCTGAAAGCAGGTGATAGAGATTTAGTACTGATCACAGAACCGGCATGGTCTGTAAACCTTAATAATCAATGTAAACGGCATGTTTTTACCCTGAGCTTTAAATGTGAACTGGTGGATCGATAAGAAGACAATGCATTATAAAAATCAAAACGTAGGGGTGTGCGATATGTATGGTCTGCGATAATATTGTAATTGTTGTTTTAACAATGTGCGATTTGATATTATCGAGTATATTGCGAAAAGCAAACAAAACACCTACAGAGTGCACGCATACATTAGATGATTAAGTCTAGCAGGTTAGACTAGTGTGCGTGCGCATTTATAGTGCATTCTTTCACGGCATCAGTGTATTAAATCAGTCTATTAAATTCAAGATATGGGACAGAAAATGTATATATGTATATCCTGTTAAATAGGGGTGTGCCGGTACGAGTATCGGTACCGAACGGTTCACGGGACAAATTCCAAATGGAAGTGATCATCCCTATCCCCTTGGAGTGGGGACTTTGGGGTACTTTTGAGAATCAATTTTTTCTCCCACCCCTATTAAACAGTG